CCTGGTCTGATCTGGGTGATTTTTGGATATGTTGTTCAGCCAGATCAGGGCTACCAGGGGATGTATGATTTAAAGAGGTACCCCTACGTTTAGGGGTACATCCAGAAATGGGGGGAATTGGTGTGCTGGATAAGGGGATTATGATGCTGGCTGAGGGGAGGGGATGTGTGGGAGGTTACCAGGACAGGATTAGCTACTGTAATAATTACTGTAAATCCCTCCCTTGCATGGGAGCATGCTTTATAAGGAGACTGTGATTAAAGGCTTGTCAGTTATGCTCCTGAAACTGTGTGTCGTCAAGTTATTGGGATTGCTGTTGGGATATTGCTGTATTTTACCTGCTGGAAACCCTGCCTTTGGATTTACTATTTACTTGTTCCTGAGTCTCACTTGGATTATAAGCGGAGATAACCCGGGTAATATTGCATCTCCGCTACAACGACCAATATCAAACTTTTAGTTTGCTATTTGGTTGTAAAAAAAGTGAAGCTGCTGGGTCAATCAGGCAATGTTTAAAGTTACAGTATCTTTCCAATGATGTGAGTGACCTTCCATTATGAATGTGGCAGTTAAAGGTGGATGCTGCTTAAGTGAAAGTCTGACATTAAGTTTTGTCTTGACTGGATCCGCAACCTCTTTTCTCTCAGCATTAGTGATGTTGCGAACCCGAAATTTTCGGTTCAAGAACGTCGAACGCGAACTTCCGCAAATGTTCGCGAACCGGGCGAACCGCCATAGACTTCAATGGGCAGGCAAATTTAAAAAAACACAGGGACTCTTTCTGGCCACAATAGGGATGGAAAAGTTGTTTCAAGGGGACTAACACCTGGACTGTGGCATGCCGGAGGGGGATCCATGGCAAAACTCCCATGGAAAATTACACAGTTGATGCAGAGTCTGGTCTTAATCCATAAAGGGCATAAATCACATAACATTCCTAAATAACAATGGAGATGGATTGACACCTGACATATGACATATTGACACCTTGACATATGGATTGACACCTGTCCTCAGAGCCCCTGATGCACACGGACACAGAGCAGAATAGAGACTGGTCCCCTACATAGGGTCACTTGGCAAATATGGATTGACACCTGTCCTCAGAGACCATGATACACACTGACACAGAGCAGAATAGGGACTGTTTCCCCTACATAGGGTCACTTGGCAGATATGGATTGACACCTGTCCTCAGAGCCCCTGATACACACTGACACAGAGCAGAATAGAGACTGTTCTCCTACATAGGGTCACTTGGCAGATATGGATTGATACCTGTCCTCAGAGATCATGATACACACTGACACAGAGCAGAATAGAGACTGTTACCCCTACATAGGGTCACTTGGCAGATATGGATTGACACCTGTCCTCAGAGACCATGATACACACTGACACAGAGCAGAATAAGGACTGTTCCCCTTACATCGGGTCACTTGGCAGATATGGATTGACACCTTGTTACAAACTGCTATTTGTAACGGGCCCTTTAAATGGCAAATTGCCCTGCTTCCCTGGGTTGTGGAGAAGCCTATTTGCCAGCCTCCTCCCGCATGACCATGGCCCCTGGGAGATTGTGAAAATGTATGCACTTTTATTTGGTGTGTATGGCCCTTTAAGACTGTCGGTGGGCATATTGGGGCTTATGGACTCTTTATGTGACTGGTGCTGACCCTTTAAACACCTTTTTTGGGACATCAGGAAGATTGGGACACTGCCCCTTTAAGGCCGTGTCCCCAGACTTGTTGGGGACACTGCCCCTTTAAGATGGTGTCCCCTGTGTCCCCAGACCTGGTGCAAACCCTTTGTGCCTGCCTGGCTTGTAATTCCCACTTGGTTCGGTAAATGGAACTTACTGAACCAAGTACCTGAGCAGACCACCCAGAAGTGGAAGTGTGGTCTTTGTTCGTTTGCTGAACACGTGGCGGCGGCCATCTTTGATCATTCGGCGAGGTCAGCGGTATGTGTAGCCAAATTCATGGAACTAAAATCGGCTACACATTTCCGCGAACACCGCTGAGCTCTACCTTCTCCCCTACTGGTTTTACAGCTGCAGAGACTAAGTCCCATTCGGCGATGGGACTTAGTCTTTTTTTCAGCCGTTTTTTTCAGCCTTATTTCAGCTGCAGGGACTAAGTCCCATTCGCGATGGGACTTAGTCGTTTTTTCAGCCTGAAATAGACCGACCTCACAGCCCAAATCTATGGAACTGTTTTGGGCAGGAAAATGT